CGGGGGGGGGGGTGGGGGGGCTCGGGGCTGCCGGGGGGCTGGGGAGCCTCGGACCCTGACACCTTTCCCTCTCGCTCCTTCCAGCTATTCCCATGCCCTGGACGGCATGTACCGTGTCTTCCGGGAAGGTGAGGCCGTGCCAGCCGGGTAGGGTGAGCCCGCCTGGGGTGTCCTCACTGACACTGGGAAACCGGGGCAGGAGGAGTAGTAGCCCAGGGCACTCTTTCTGGGAGTCACAGCGGGTGCTCTCTCAGCCAGGGCAGGGAGAGGGGACAGAGGGTGGCCGTGGGGCCAGGGTAGCCGAGGGTCAGGCAGGGCCTGGCAGCCTGTCCTTCCTCCAGAGGAAAAGAGGGACCTGCCGGGAGCCGCTATGAAAAAGCACAAGAGTGTGGAGCAGGTGGGAAGGAGAAGGAATGGCAGCAGGGAGGAGATAGGGCTGTTCTGAAGGACTCTCCTTTCCTGGCTGTTGTGTGGTTTACGTGCTGTTGTACGAGGAGTCTGGGACATGAACCGGGCACGGGACGAGGCTCCCGGGGGGAAAGGAGAGTGAGTAATGTCCCAGGACTGCACTGATCCCCATCTGTCTGTCCACAGAGGGCTTGAAGAAACTCTTCTCGGGAGCTACGATGGCATCCAGCCGAGGGGCCCTGGTCACTGTTGGGCAGGTGGGACAGCTCTGCTGGGCAGTGGGTGCCCAGGGTAGGGACAGGGGTAGTCCCTGGCGTGGCAAGTGTCACTAATACCCTGTGTCTCCGCAGCTCGCCTGTTATGACCAGGCCAAGCAGCTGGTTCTCTCGACTGGGTTGCTGTCAGACAACATCTTCACTCACTTCCTGGCCAGCTTCATCGCTGTGAGCGGGGCTGGGTGTGGGGAGGCAGGACTGGGACTGGGTTTGCCTGCAGCCAGGCTCGGGACCCCAGACTGGGGCTGCCAGAGCTGCTCCTCAGGGCTCTGACACAGCGGGGCTGGGCACAGAGGCTCCTGTGGGGTCTCCCGGGCTGGGGCTGGGCCCAGGCAGAGCTCTGGGTCTCTCCAGTGGCCGTGGCAGTCGCTGGCACCTGGGTCTTCTCTGTGGGCTGGGGCTGCTGACCCTGGCTGACTCTCCTCCAGGGTGGATGCGCCACATTCCTGTGCCAGCCCCTGGACGTGCTCAAGACCCGCCTCATGAACTCCCAGGGCGAGTACCGGGTGAGAAGCCCATCCTGTCCCCTTTGTGCACCAACCTCTGCCTCCCTGCACCTCCTCATCCCTCTCCATCTCACTCCAGGGTGTTGCCCACTGTGCCATGGAAACCGCCAAGCTCGGCCCCCTCGCCTTCTACAAGGTACCAATCTGGGGGTGCGTGGGGCGGGGTGTGGGGAGGCTGGCTGGGAGCAGAGGTTAAGGTGCAGAGCAGTTCTGGGGCAGGAGCCTTCCAGGCTTCCATGTCCAGCATCCGGCCTTCCTCCAGCTTGGCCCTGGAGCGTTGTGAGCCTTGGCCTCTTCTGGGCCTGCAGCCCGTGTCCGGGCACCGCGGCAGCTGCCCTGCTGCGCCCGTTGGGTCCCCAAACAGGAGGGCAGGTAGGGGCAGTGGTGCTCCAGCACTCCTTGGATGTTGCAGACCAGCAGATACTGGTCGGTTCTTGGGCCCTATGTGCCCGGGCTTGGTGCAGTCACCGTGTGTTGGGTCTCTCTCCTGGGAGGACCCCTGCAAAGGGGTTTTGCACCCAAGGTTTCTTCCAGCTGCTGCCTGTCAGGCGTTTGCCCTGTTACAGCCTGTCTGCTCATCTTCCCCAGGCAGCGTCCAGCCCCCTTCTGAACCGGGGGCTGCGGGATCTGACCCGGGCTTCTACCGAGACCCTGCCTACGTAGCGGTGATGCCGACACTGATGTGTTTGGGGGCAGAGGGGTTGGTGCATGATGCTGAGCTCTGTGTGCACAGCCATGGCTGCGGTGCCTCCCTCATGGCTGTGGCAGCTCGTGCTGCATGCCCGGCCAGCCCCGCACCCCCCCGTGCTTGCAAGCTGGTGCAGCTCCCCGGGTTGGGCTACTGGGCACCCTCGGCCCTGGCGGGGAAGCCCAGGGCCAGCTGGGGCACACAGTGACTCTCCTCGTTCTCGCTGTTCACTTCCAGGGCTTCGTTCCTGCTGCTGTCCGGCTCATTCCTCACACCATCCTCACCTTTCTCTTCCTGGAACAGTTACGCAAACATTTTGGGATTAAAGTGACCACCTGAGTAGGAGAGAGAGGCCCTGCCTCGCCCCGGGGGGGTGAGCGTGCGGGTCACCGCTGGGATCCCAGAACCCTCTTCCCTTCTCTCTGGGGCCAGCGTTGCTCCCCCTGCCCTCATTCCCACTCCTGTGCCTTGCCAGTGCCCGTGGCCAACTGGTTCCAGACCCCCCCTCCCTCTCTCACCCCCCCTTCTCAGCACCTCCATTACCTCTGGGCTATTCTTGGCCTCTTGTCCCCTCTGCACTGTTGGTTTGGGGTGGCTTTTTTTTCTTTTTCCTTTCTTCCCACTGCCCTACTGGCCACAAGTCCTGCCCGTGGCTCCCTCAGCCCCATCCCTTGTGTGCCTCCCGGGATGGGGACTGTGCTGTCCCCGGGATCTAGCCCTGGGCTCTGTGCCTGCTCTCGGAGCCTCGTGGGGCTGGGGGGGCCAGTTCCACTTGTGCCCACACCACAGCAGGGTGGGCAAGCAGCAAGGGCTGGGGGG